CCTCCTCGGCCGTGGTGCCGACGGGGTGGATCTCAGCGAAGGGAGTGGTTCAGCACATGCATCGTCGTCTGCTTCGCGCCTGGCATCCGCGGCTGCAGCAGCTGCGGGCTGAGGAGCAGCTGAGGAAGGACGCCCCAGCGCCCGCGCCCAGGTCAGCCCCTCAGCCGCGCGACGTGGGCCCCGAGCCAGTGCGCGGCCGGGTCGACGAGGAGGCCGTCGTCGGGAGGCCCGTGGTCGACATTGGGCGCGGCTGCCGCCGCCGCGGCCTGGCCCCGTCGCGACGGGGCAATCCCTACCGCGTGGGCCCGCAGCGGAGCCGTCACCAGGCCGTGGCCGAGTTTGCCCGCTACTTGGATGAGGAGCCGTCGCTGCTGGCGGAGCTCGGCTCCTTGAGCGGCACGAGGCTGGCCTGCCACTGTCGCCCGTCTCAGGTTTGCCACGGCGACGCCATCATCACGAAGTGGCGAGAGCGGTTCTTGGAGCCTGTCGTCTGGCGGGCCCGGCAGGTCTACATCGACAACCTGGACGTGCTGGAGGTGACCGAGCGGTGGCACGCCGTGCAGCTGAAGCAGGAGGGCCTCTGCGATGCGGCCCCCCTCGCCCGCGCCCGCTACGAGGCGCAGGGCGCGCCCCGCAGCGAGACCAAGTCGGTGGTGCGGGAGTTGCAGACGGTCTCCCTCGGCGAGGCCATCGACGGGGAGCTCGGCGCCATCGGGCCCCCGAAAGAGTTTGTGCTGCGACTGGTCTCACTCGCGCTCGAGACCATCTTCCGTGAGAAGGTGGCTCAGAAGTGGATGCAGATACTCGCGGGTCGCTGGGCCAGGTGCCTTCTGTCCAGGAGGGAGGCGATGATGAGCTTCACGCACCTGCGGCGGCTCCTGGCGCGCATTCGGGGGCGCGCCCCGCTACCGGCGGTGGTGAAGGAGGAGCTGCTGGGCGCCTTGGCTTTGCTCCCGCTGCTGAGGTGCGACCTCAGAACCCCCGTGAGCGGGCTCGTCACCGTGAGCGACGCGAGACCCCAGCGAGGCGCCGTCTGCCGCGGGGCGCGCCTCCGCCCCGAGGGCGCGGCCGCCGCGCGGGCCGCCAGGAAGAGGCAGCTGACCAGCTTCAGCGACGGGGCGGTCCTCGCCTCGCTCTTCGACGGGGTCGGCGGGGCGAGGCGGGCCGTGGATGGATCTGCTGGGGCTCATCGCCGCCCTCTTCGTCGCCTCGGAGACCGACGTGGAGGCTCGGCGAGTGACCCGGTACACGTGGCCCGACGTCCTCGAGGTCGGGGACGCGCGAACCTTCGGCTACGCGGAGGCCGTCGCGATCCGCGACAGGGCGTCGCACGCGAAGTGGGCCCTCCTTGTTGCTGGCAGCCCGTGCACGGACCTCGCCAGGATCAGCGCGCAGCGGGTCGGGCTCCCGGGCGAGAGGTCGCGGCTCTTCTACGAGATCAGGCGCGTCAGGGACCTGCTTCTCGAGGTGCTTGGGGAGTGGTGTTTCGTCTTCGAGCTGGTCGAGAACGCTGCCTTCATGGACGCGGAGCCAAGGGAGAGATGACCGAGCACCTGGGCCCCCCCATCCGCATCGACGCCGCGGATGTGAGTCACTGCCGCCGCGACCGCTTCTACTGGATTGACCCCGCCATGGTCTGCGCTTGGCAGGGCAAGGTTCAGCAGTGCGACGGCTACGAGCAGGTGACGATCCCAGGTGGCCCAGGGGAGCCCGCCCGCTGGCTGGCCCCAGGCCTGGGACGGCATGGTGGCGCCGACCCGACCTTTCGCCTGCCGACGTTCCTGCGATGCGACCCCCGCCGAGCTCCAGACCAGTTCCCCAGTGGCGTAGGTGCACTGAGGCCGAGCTCCAGAGGTGGCGGAACCACGAGTACTGCTATGCCCCGTACCAGTTCACGGACGTCAGCTGCATCCAGGTTGAGGACAGCTCCTTCAGGCCTCCCAACAGCGTGGAGCGGGAGTTGCTCCTGGACTTCTTGCCAGGACACACGGCCACGGCGCGGGCCACCAGCTCGCGCAAGCTCGAGCCGCGGGCCTTGGAGCAGAAGAGGTGCGCCTTGCTGGGGGGCAGCTTCCAGTGCGCGACGGTGGCTTGGGTTGTGGCCCACTGGGCGGCCATGCAGGGCCACCTTCCACGCGTCCCAGACGTTGCGGAGATGCGCGAGACAGGCGGTGGCGCGACCATCGCAGACCGAGACGCGGGGTTGAGCTCGCCCGACGCTGGCGCGGGGACCCTGGTCAGGCAACACGAGCTGGAGGAGCCCTCGGCCGCCGCCGACCCCAGCGTGGCCATCGTCGAGGAGATGATCCGCAGAGCTGAGCCCAGAGGGAGTGACATCCGGCTCGACACCTTCGAAGCGATGAGGCCCGACTTGTGGCCACGGCGCCCCATCAGCGTGGGGCGCTGGTCGTGGAAGCCCGCGGTGGTCTGGCACTGGCGGCGCCCATCGCACATCGCGAACTTGGAGGTGCGGGCGACGCTCCAGGCGCTGCGCTGGAGGTTCAGAGCGTCGCGGCAGCTTCGGACCAGGTTCAGCCACCTTATGGACTCGCAGGCGGGCATGGGCGTGATCACGCGCGGCCGCTCGTCATCTACGATTCTCCACGTTATTGTGCGACGCGTTGGCGCCCGTGTTACTGCTGCCCTCGCCCGCCCTGTGCACGGCTACACGGAGACCGACCGCAACCCAGCCGATCATCCGACGCGGTCGGCGGCGGTCTCCAACGCCCTGAGCAATGGCGGCTAGAAGGGCGCGCCGCTTCCAGGCGGCGGGCGGGGCGGCAGCGAGGCAGCAACAAAGGGCAGTGGTGGGCCCACTCAGACACGCGCTGGTGCAACCGCGCACGTTGATGGTCTACCTGCGCACAGCACAACAGTTCTCATAATAGTTGAGGGGCCGCAACCTGTCGTGGTCGGCCGCCTCGAATGACACAGAGTTCCTTGACATACTGGTCGCAGAGTGGATCGAGTAGCTGCGGCTCGAGGGCCACCCGCAGGGGACAGCTGGCAGCACTCTCTCCGCCGCGCAGTTCTTCCTGCAGCGGAAGCGGGTCCTGCCAGCCTCGTGGCGCCTTTTCAAGGCTTGGCAGAGGCTGGGGATGCCGCAGCGCGCGCCGCCGCTGCCGCGGGCCGTCGTCAGCAGCATGGCGGCGCTGGCGCGGCACTGGCAGCGCAACGACGTGGCGGCCCTGCTGATCATCGCCTTCGCCGCCTTCCTCAGGACCTCTGAGGCCTTGACCCTGCGCCGCTGGCAGGTTCAAATAAACAGTCGAAGAGAGAGAGAGAGAGAGAGAGAGAGAGAGAGAGAGAGAGTCATTATCATCCTTCCTGTCTCCAAGAGCGGTCTCAGATTTCACAGGCAAGAGCATGTTGTGATAGAGGATGCCACCGTTGCTCGCCTCTGCTCCCATATATCCTTCGGCATGTCCCCGATGATAGACTGATTCTGTCAACTGGGGCCCATGATTTTCGGAAGCTATTCAATCTGCTGCTCCAGGAATCGAAATGCGAAGGCTTTAAGTTCAAGCCTTACAGCCTCCGAAGAGGAGGGGCCACTGAGTACTACAGAGTCACCAAGAATATGCCAGCCACGCTTGAGAAAGGACGAAGGCTTGACAGCGCAACGGCCCGCATCTACATTACCGAAGGGCAGCAGGCCCTGACAGAGTTGTAGTTTCTGGACCATCAGATACGCAGATATGAGATCTTAGGAGGCCTTCTGAATTTTGATGTGTAGAGCGGTTCACCAGAGGGGGAAACGTGGAGAGCCTCCTCGACTCTGCTGCCCCCCTGCTCCCTCTTTTTTGTTTTTTCGCGGGCCCCCGCCCTCGGCGAAAATCTGTGGGGCCCTTCTGGGGCTTCCGATCGGCCTCGGACCTCTAGGGGGTCAGCCGCGAGGCCACTTGGGCAGGTGTGTGTGTGGCGGCTGCGTCGGGCTCCCCCTCGGCGCTCCCCTGTCCTGACCCCGGTGACGATCGGTGCGTCTCGGAGGTGCGATCCGTGGGGGAGAGTCCCCACGGGACTTGGGTTCTGATAACCTTTGGGTGGGACGACAAAAAGGGATGGTAGAGGTTGAGAGAGAGCCGTCAGACACATATCCTTTAGAACTAACAGGTTGTGTCTCGCCTCACTCGCCTCGTCCTCCCTTGTCGTCACAACCGTCTCGTCCATAGCTTTGTGCTCCCTCCCACCGACCTCCCGACGAAGGTAGGGCTTGTGTCTTTGGTAGGAGAACGTCCTCGACTCTGCTGCCCCCCTGCTCCCTCTTTTTTTGTTTTTCGCGGGCCCCCGCCCTGAGCGAAAATCTGTGGGGCCCTTCGGGGGGCTCCGATCGGCCTCGGACCTCTAGGGGGTCAGCCGCGAGGCCACTTGGGCAGGTGTGTGTGTGGCGGCTGCGTCGGGCTCCCCCTCGGCGCTCCCCTGCCCTGACCCCGGTGACGATCGGTGCGTCTCGGAGGTGCGATCCGTGGGGGAGAGTCCCCACGGGACTTGGGTTCTGACAACCTTCTGGTGGGACCACAAAAAAGGATGGTAGAGGTTGAGAGAGAGCCGTCAGACACATTGTTCAATCCGCACCCCAGAGGTGTTGACCCCATCCTCCCTGGGGACAGCCCTTCGTCCAGGATGCGTTTTTGTTGGCCACGGGGTCTGAAAGCGGCCCTTGAAGGCCGGAATTGTGGAAGAACGCTGCATATGACAAGAACATATGTTACTTTCGATTTTTCCCCGCCCGAGAACGCGAGGCGGGATCCCCAGGGAGCGCCGGCACCTTTTGGGGCACTGGCGGCCGCGGCATGCAGTCGTCATTTGTCGAAGACACAAAGCGGAACACCTGGGGAGCGCCGGCACACTTTGGGTTTGGCGGCCGCAGTACGGGAATTCTTTCCGTCCAAGTTAAGAACCCCAACGTGTTCGATGGGGAATCACATCCTCGGATATCTGGGCATCCCGTTGTCGATGTCGTCGTCGACGTCCTCGCCGCTTCTGGCGCGTTCGCCGAGGACTGCCCCCTGCCCGGCGAGTGCGTGTGCCACCCGGGCTGGGCGGGCGCCGACTGTTCAGAGCAGCAGGCCCGCGTGCTGCCAAGCGCCGTCGTCGCCGCCTTCGGCGCCGTCGTCGTTCTCCTTCGCCGTCGTCGTGATCGTGGTCGTCGTCTTCGCCTTCGTCGTCGTCGCCTTCGTCGTGGCCGTCGCGATCGTTGCTGTCTCCGCCGCCGTCGCCGCCAGAATTCGTCCTTCTCCCCCCCGCCCCCCCCCCCGCATCTTCCACGCCAGCGCCCCCTCTCGACTGGGTTTCTTTTCGCTTGAGGTCCAGGGCAAGAGCAGAAACCGCCCCCGAGATCGGGGGAGCCGGCCCTCCTCCTCCCCCCTACTTCCATGGTCATCCCCCTCTCCTCCTCCTGTTCTCCTCCTCGTCCCCCTCCCCCTTCTGCGCCTCATGTCCACGTCCCCCCCGTCCGCACTGAGGCCGCCCTGCCCGCGCCGGCCCCCGCCCTGGCGCCCGCGCCGGCCCCCGCTCTGGCGCCCGCGCCCGCACAGCAGGCGCTCTGGGGCCTCCGCTGGGGCAGGCAGTGCATGGTGCAATCCCGCGCGTGGAGTTCGAGCCCTGCAGCGCAAGATCGCGCGATCGCCGAGCCTGGAACAAAGCAGCGTGGGAATGTTGTGCGTGGCCTCGGCGGGGCCGCCCTGGTGCGCTGGAGCTCTCGTGGCTGTTCATCCGCGCCCGCGTGGAGAGTAACAGAGCGCGCGGACGGGGAATGCGGACCGGTTCCCAATTCGAGCTGGCAGGAGCGCCGTCGCTGCTTTATTGGACTGTACATAGACAAGAGATTCGAATATTGCAGCGCAAGATGCCCCCACGGGCCCACCGAATTAACGTGGAGACTGCGGCAATACCTGGGGCTTGAGTGGACAGAATGGTCAAACCCCAGAACTACCATCCATGCTGTAATCAGCATTGTTTTCAGGGGCGGGGAGGAAGGTTCTCATCATCCCCCTCCATTGAGCAAGGGTTGGGAAGTACTGTCCCTGCTACTGTCACCCAGGACGCCAGAAGCTCAGGTCCTCCAAGTTCGGCCCCCACGGGGCGTTCAAATTGTTGTCCAGGACGGTGCGACCCTGGGAAACGGGCCGGGGGCCCTGAGGCCCACGGACTGATAGAACCATTGCGTCCAAAGTCTTAGGCCTTGGACCTTTCGCGTCCTCCGCGCTGCAGGGGCCGCGGCGCCTGCAGCGCAGAGGGCGCGGATGGTGGAGGCCCCGGGACATCTCACGGGGGTTGGGGGCCCGGCTCGTTTTTTGTCGAGCAGGTGCGATTCGTCGGGTGTTGTTCCTCAACGGGATTCTCTGGCCCGATGCACAGCCGAAGAACCCAGGGGGATGGGGAAGAAGTGGAGGATGACGGGGACGACGAAATTGAGAACACGAAAAACAGCAAACGTTCAAACATGGGCGGCCGAGTCTCGTGAGTTTGAGCCTCTGGGGGCCTGTTTGGGGGCCCACAGGAGCGACAGAGTACAGCGCGCGGCGAGAGATGCATGCGAATGGCGGGGGCTGAGAGGTCCAGAGCCCCACCCATAGAACTTCTTTCGTCACAGTGCCACGAGCATGACGCCCTTGCTCTGTGGGAACGCTCTTTCGCCATGACGAAAGAGAAAAGGGGTCGTGGAGGAAATGCTTCGACAATGTTGTTCCCCCTTTTCCAACTCCTGGGGTCCTTGTTCAGACCGTCAAAAGCAACATTCGGGTTGAAAAGCCGGTACCAGGGGAACCCACCGGGGTCCAGGACCCGTTTCCACCAGGGCCATTTCATCTCGCGCCAAGTTTCTTTGCACAGTTGTCTTCGTCGTTCGTTGTTGTTCGTCGTTCGTGCGTCGTCGTTCCATTGCTGAGCTCGTAGCACTTCTTGCTGGTATTCGTCGTCATTCGCTCGTCGCGCCCTCAGTATCCCCTGTATGTGTCCGTGTCTGTGGGGATGCGTGCGTGGGTGCGTGTGTCTTTATTGCCCGTGCTGTTCGTCCGTCGCTGCGCCTCGCTTGTAGACCTTCTCGGTCTGCCACAAGAGGAGGAGGAGGAGGAGGAGGAGGAGGAGGAGGAGGAGGAGGAGGAGCACTTGCACTTCCCCCTTGTCGTACTCCCTCTCCGCCCTCCTCGCGAGTGACGTCGCGTGGTCCCCTGTGGGCCGACATTTTCCCGCTGCGTGAGCTGGGCCCAAGCGCGCTCCTGTCGCTCGCTGCTAGGCTCTGCCTCCGCCGCGCCGGTGCACGCGTGGCCGGTGCACGCGTGGCCGCGACGTATCGCCCGGCCGCGACGACCGAAGGAATGCCTGTGCGGAGTCACTCCTCGGTGGCGCCGGAAGTCTCTGAAGCACGGGTCTCTCCGCGGGCGCCCCGCGCGCCGGCGGTCAGGCGGCGCCACTTCCCGCGCTCGCCGTGGCACTGGGAGCGCGCCGCCTCCGCCGCGCCGCCCAGCCCGCGACGCTGGCGGCGGCGGCCGCCGCCGCGGAAGAACGCGCGCAGCTGCACTGTGCGGACAGCGGAGGGCGCCAACTGCACGCCACGGGCTTTCGGAAGTGTTAGAGCGTCAATATTCTAGTCGGATATAGGTGTTCTGGAAGTTTGCAAACATTTTTGAGACCCAGGGTGGCTCTCATCCGGTGCGCCTCGTCGAGAGGGAGCTGGGGGTGCCAGAATCTTCCCGAACGGCCGCCAGAGAGCCGAGTTATGGCCCGAAAACCACGGGGCAACTGCAGGGGGTGGAAAAATAGGTTCAGGGGGATGCACCGACCCTCGATCGCCGATTTATCGCCCACGTACCGCCGATAGCGGCCCGATAGCCCACCCCGCCCAGGAACTTGCGATTTCGCTGCCGAGGCCCATCGCCTATCGATCGGCGATGCGTCGCCAATTCAAGGTCAATGTTTCTTTTCATGGGCCAGTTCCCCTACATCGTTGCACCTTCGGGCACCAACGACACACAACAGGCTTCGGACGACACGGCTTTCTCGGGCCGATCGGTTGCTCCATTCCCAGCGAGTTCTCTTTGGCTTTGACTTCTGCGAGCTCTTTTCGGGCCCTGGGGCCAAGACCCCATCGAACAGGCCAGTCCGTCGGGCTTCTGGCGCATCCTGCAAAACTCCTGGCCATGACCAGCCTGGGCCCGCGGGGGTCGGTGCGCGTGCTTTCCTGGCCGCCGCGCCAGGAGGGCACCACACACCGACCCTGGGCCCACGGCTGGGCCCGGGCAGGATCGGTGCAGGTGGACGGCTGGTCCGCGTCGTGTCGACGGGCGGCGACCCCGCCGCCAGCGTGCATGTCAGGGGCAACGAACGGGGGGGACGGGCACAGGTGAGGGTGCATCGGCCCGCAATCGCCCACTGATCGCCGATAGGGGCCCGACGGCCTCAATTTGCCCAGGAAGGTGCGGACTCGCTATCAGAGGCCTGTCGCCGATCTATCGTCGATGTATCGCCGATTCCAGGTCGATGCATCCCCTCCTAGGCCAGTCCACCCATATCATTGCCCCTCATCATTTTATGATGAGGGGCAACGATAGGGGGTGATGCTGAACAATTGGACATTTCAGAAGCGGCCGCTGCTGAACAATTGGACATTGGACAAACGCCGCTGGCGACCCAGAATCGGTCGATGCTTAACAATTAGACATTTCGAAAGCGGCCGCTCGTTCAAGGTTGAACGGTCCCCGCTGTGTGAGGAACAAGCTCCGTGGTCGGCACGACACGAACCCGCGGTATGAGATCTTGGCTTCGCAATGTTTGTAGCGCCAGGCGTCTTCGCACAGTTTTGGGCCCCAGGGCCGACATAGATCGACACGGCTGGAGACGTGCTGCAGAAAGGTCCCGGGTTGGAAGCGGCCGAGGGATCTGCGCTGGACGGTCCCGAGAAAGTCAGTCAAGAGAGGGGGGGCGGGGGCAAATCCGCTCAAAGAGTACAAATTCTAGTCGCGTATCCCCACCAGCCCCTCCAGAAACGACGCCCAGGCGAGTAGAGGGTCGTCCTGAGGGGCTTCTCGGCGTCTTGGGTGCCTCGGGGGGGCCTCTGTGGGCCGTTCGGGATCCTCTTTGGGGCCTCCTGGGGGCCTCTTGGGGCCTCTTGGGGCCATCTTGGGGCCTTTGGGGGCCTCCTGGGCGCTTCTTGGGGCCATCTTGGCCCCCTCAGAAGGCCAAAATGGAGCCCAAACCATAGTAAAAAGGCCTCTGGGAGCACCTTGGGTGCCTCTGGGGGGTCTCTTGGGGCCTCTTGGGGGTCTCTTGGGGGCCTCCTGGGGGCCTCTTGGGGGGCCTCTTGGGGCCATCTTGGGGCCATCCTGCGGCCTCTTGGGGCATCCTGGGGGCCTATTGAGGCCATCGTGGAGGAAATCGATCAAAGAAGAGGGGAGCTCTAATTAGCGCTGCCCCCTCAGAAGGCCAAAATGGGGCCAAAACCATAGTAAAATCAATGATTTTGGCTTCCTCGCCGAGGCCGTTTTGGACGCTCTGACCGCTCCCCGCCCCTCCTGTCCAGGTCAGTGGGGAGGGGGTAGGGGGAGGGGTAAACCCCTCCCCGAAGGGGAAGAGGGAGGGGTGGAAGAGGAGACGCCCTAAACCACCGACGCCCAGAGGGCTGGTGGGATTCTTCGAGCCGCGTCCAGCCGTGGCGACGAAGGGTCTTCTTTCTCCCCCCTTTCAAGTGGCAGGAGCCAGCGATGGGCCGCCTCAGTCCCCCCAGCCGGCTCGCTCCAAATCCAGGGCTCAGGTCGTGATTCCCCATTGTGCCGCCAATTGTTTCCGTCACGTTCGGACCTCTGTGTTATTATGTGCCTCCCAGATGGGGTCAGAGCAGATGGGGTCAGAGGCTCGCGCCGCATCGCCGATGCATCGGCGATGCGGCTCGATGGGGAGCCCGACTTTCTCAACGCCGACGGCGCTGATGCATTGCCGACGCACTGCCGATGCATTGCCGATGCATCGCCGAGGCATTGGCGATGCGGCGCGATACTCGGACCCCATCTGCTCGGACCGCACCCAGCAGGCCTCCTATTCGGACCCCATCTAGGAGGCCTCCAGGATCTCAGCTCGGCCACGCGCAGAGGGTGGGCCTTGTCAGGGGGGAGGAGGGGGAGGAGGAGGAGGAAGAGGAGGAGGAGGAGGAGGAGGGGGAAGAGGAGGAGGAGGAAGAGGAGAAGGAGGAGGAGGAGGAGGAGGAGCAGGAGGAGGAGGGGGAGGGCGGGAGGCTTCTCAGGAGCACCCCCGCTTCTTAGAAGGCGCGGGCCTTGTCCATAGATGACAGGGCTGGCGCCTTCTACGAAGCAGCCTCCTTCTAAGAAGCCTTCCCCCCTACCCCCTGCCCCCCTCTGCGCCGCCAAGCAGTGTGCACAGCTGACGCCCTCCCAGGACTGGGACGAGGAGCTCGGCCTGCCGGACTGCAGCGGTCGCGGCCAGTGCGCCGGCGGCGTCTGCTCCTGCCCGCCGGGCTGGGGCCAG